GGAGGAGAGTGGTAACAGTTAGCCTGGCAGTCCCGCGGCCTGGAGCCTCTAGCTCAGCCCGCACAAACAAGCCGACCTCCTGGCTGCTGTCCTGCCCACCTCAGCCCCAACCTGTCTCCCTCCTGCACTCTGTCACTCTCGCGGAGGCGTGGCAGATGGCCTCCAAGCACAGCTGGACCCCTGCCGAAGGGGACACAGGCAGAGGATGGATGGGCAGGTAACCAACCCAGAAGAGGACCTTTACTGGCTCTGCCTACCCTCTTCCGGGCTGGGTCCAGCGTGTCCCCTCTGGCAAATGCTGGAAGCGGAGCTCACTGCCCACATGCAGGGGTAAAGGGGGAGTGGAGTCTGCTACCAGCAACTTGCATTTCCCACCCCACCCCCCCCGCTTTCTGTGCTAAAGGCTCTGCGTTCTACCGTAAACTCATGACCTTCTGTTCTCTTCCTCAGACCACAGGTGAGGTGCCCGGGCAGGCCGGATGCCTGCGGCTTCCAGGCTGCCGGGTGCACTGGTACGTGAGAGAGTGCCTCTGATTCCACCAGAGGGCCAGTGGTCAGGGCGACGGGCCTCTCCCGCTCCCAGCCTGTAGGCTCCCTCCCTGGCCTACTGTGGGGCTGCCCATCCATCTTGTTCCATTTCCTCCTGCCTGGAAGGGCAGAGGAAGAGGATGGGATCTTGGCCCACTGGCTCTCACGTGTTTCTTCTTGCCGTCAGGTGGAGACTGTGTGTGGAGGGGGCTATCTTGGGACCAGTAATACTTGGTGGCCTAAATACCAGAGCATAGACAATAGTCTCCTGGCCCTAGGGAAAGGGCCATGGTGACTTGGTGGCTCGCTCAGACCAGACCAGGGAGGCAGGGGTGGCCCTTAGCCGTGGCCTTGAGGTCCCCCTTCCGCCTGATTCTCCGGCACCCCACGCTCCCAGAGCCAGGGAATTGGGAGGGGGCAGTAGACAGTAGCACTGGAGCCTGAACCAGACCTTGGTTTCTGAGCACACCCTAGAGCTGTCCCAGCTCTGCAGGCTGGAGGTCAGGCTGGGGAAAAGGAGTCTGTGCCATAATCAACAGGCTATTTTCCTCTCTCCCTCCCACCCTCCTCTGCCTTATGACCAGGGCCAAAGCTGCCAGGAGTTGCAGGGCAGAGGAGGCCCTGGCTCATACTTGGACCTCGGTGGCGTGGCTGGCCCAGGACTATCCATGCAGGGAGGCCTGCACCTCTGACAGTCGGTTACAGCTTGGGGTGCCCATCTTCTGTGCTTTGTGGTACATATCTGTGTCACCGAAGTAGCGGGCCCGGTACAGCAAGCCTTCCTCTGCAAAGCAATGGGGCAGAGTTTAGGGCACACCTGGTATCCCCCAAGGGTCACTGGAGCACTTGCCTAGCCTGTGGGGGTGGGAGGAAGACTGTTACAGGCCCCAGAGCTGGCGCAGAGCTGGCCTCCCTTTAGGAAAGGCCCCGGAGAGCAGACTATGGTCCCAGCTTGGGAGAGAACAGAGGCCCCTTTCTACAGACTTAGGTGAGATCAGCCGAGGAAAGAACCTGTCGTTCTGGTTAGACCTCCCTAGGGTCCCACAGATACAGCTGGATGGCCAGTCGCTAGGTGGCCAGGACACGTGCTCCAATCCATCTCAACACACTTACCTCTGGCAGCCACACTCAGGCTGACGGAAGTGACTTACGGGAACCTGGAGGAAATCTCCAGGTGGCCCCTGGCTCCCGGCCCCAAGGAAACAGGGTGGGGTCCCATTTTTGGCTGGGAGGTGGCTGGTGCGAGGCAGTGCCAGGCGCTGGGTCCACAAATCTCTGGTGAGCAGGGCTTTCTCCTTCCCCGCGCTCAAGCTCTGTCCCCGCAACACACACGCACTCACTCTGCTGCTTCTCCTTCCAGCAGTTGTTTCGGAGGTTGGCGATATAGTCGTCTTCCACATTCCGTTCAACTGTTTTGAGGCTGGAGCCTGTGTACTCCTTGGAGAAGGTGTCTGCCACGTAGTAGACGACGTTCAGGTGGTCAGTGACTCGCCTGTGGACGTGGCCCACCGACCTGGCCGGAAATACATCAGGCACAAAGTGGGCCCAGGTCCCCAGGCCCACGGCAGCTCTAAGGATGACAGGGTCCCCCAACAGGAGGTACCGCACAGGCCACAGGGCTGGCTTCCCTCCAAAACTGGAGAGGAACTCGCACAGCACCCAAAATGAGGGTCTGAAGGAAAGGCAGGGTGTCCCTCCTAAGTGGTCCAGACTACGGCCAGCCCTTCCTCAGGCTCTCTGCTTACCACACTGCTGACCTGGGGCCTGTGGGAGGAGCCCCTTTTGAGAGGCCCCGGTCAGTGCAGCAGGGGAGCCTGGGCTCTGCCTCTGATTAGGGGTGTGAGTCGGGGTCCCAGTGCCTCCATTTCCACATTCCTCCCCTAAGCTCATTGTTGCCCAGGGCCTGCCTGCCTACCCAGGAACTCCCAATCTGGGGTTAAGAGGCTTAGGAACAACAAGACACAAGGACTCCAAGGACCTCTGTCCTTCCAGCTTTTGGTCCTATCTTCCAGCTCCACCCGCAGGCTCTGTAGGCAGAGTCTTGACACGCAGCAGACAGGAGACAGTTCGGGTGTGGGGGGGCGAACAGCCCCTACCTGCCCTCTGCTGCCTCTCCAGCTGCAGAGCGAAGGGCTGGCGACAAGGCCACGGAGAGCCTATGTTGCCTGGTGTGGGTCCAGCCACCCGACTGTGCCCCCTGGTGGCCAAGAGGAAGGCTGCCAGGCTCCGAAACAGGGCCAGGCCACTTTGGGGGAACAGAGGGTTCCCACCAATAGAAGCTGAGCACCCACTATGTAACTACGTATCAGATGTGGTGCCAGATGCTGGAAATAAATGGGGGGAGCTGATGCCTTAAAAGGCCAAATAGGGGCGCCTGGGTGGCGCAGTCGGTTAAGCGTCCGACTTCAGCCAGGTCACGATCTCACGGTCCGTGAGTTCGAGCCCCGCGTCAGGCTCTGGGCTGATGGCTCGGAGCCTGGAGCCTGTTTCCGATTCTGTGTCTCCCTCTCTCTCTGCCCTTCCCCCATTCATGCTCTGTCTCTCTCTGTCCCAAAAAATAAATAAACGTTGAAAAAAAAAAATTTAAAAAAAAAAAAAAAAAAAAAAAAAAAAAAAAAAAAGGCCAAATAACTTGCCCAAGTTCACTACTGGCAGCTGAGACCATAAATTCATTGAACAAATACTGTTGAACGTTTCTATCGAGCCTGGCATAAAACAAACAAAAAAACAAACAAAAAAACAAAAAAACAAACCTTCTGCTTATTTATTTTAAAGTAATCTCTATACCTCACATGGGGTTCAAACTCAAGACTCTGAGATCAAGAGTCTCATGCCCCACCGACTGAGCCAGCCAGGTGCCCCAAACCTGGCATTTTAAGCGTCTGTGACTCATTTCATTTCCACAAGCACATAGATGTTATTCGCATTGCACAGATGAGGACACCAAAGCTCAGAGAAGTCATGTAACTTGTCTAGGGTCACACAGCTGCTTAGTTAATAAAGTAGCTGGGATTCAAATCCACCTTTGTTCTGATTCTAGAACCCCTGTTGTTTCCACGGCCCCAAGGCCCACCACCCACAACTTAAGAGCACAGGTTCTTATCTCAAGGTCAGCAGATAAGATGGGGGGAAGTGTCATGAAGCCTGTGAAATCATATGCAAAGTTGTGTATATATGTAGTGTTTGAGGGAAGAGATCTGCAGTTCTCATTGCATTTTCTTAGGGGACTGGGATACTAAAAAGATCAAGAACCTAATCTCAACAGGGCAAGTGTATTTCCTTGATTCTAAGCCAGATTTCCGCATTGTGATCAACGACCCCGCAGGATAGGAAGGAAGGCGCCCGATGCGGGTTGAGGATCCGAAGCCCCTGTCTGCCTACCACCCCATCCCTAGCGGTGGGTACTCACGGCCTTGGGCTCAGGCTGTATGGGGGACTGGAGACCATGAGCTGGCTGAGCGCCGACACCAGGATCAGGATGAGGATGGGCATCAGCTGAACAAACACCCCCAGCCCGCCCTGGAGGAAAGAACCGATGGTCACTCAGCTGGACCTGGTGGGAGTGTGGCATAGGCCGCAATCACCACCAGCTTCCCTGGCACAAAGGAGCCTGGGCGGCAGGAGGGAGACGCTGCTAACTGCGCGCGACACTCCTCTCTGCTTCCCTCCCACGGGCCCCCCAAACACAGAAGCTCCTCCACCTGCCGGTTTCCCCAGAGGAATACAAAGTAGCAACTGGTGTTAAATACAGGAAAAGGGTGCCTGGATGTATTTACTTATCTGAAACACCAAAAAAATGAGCTAAAGAGGCTTCCTCCATGAGAACGGTAGGCAGGGCTGGAGGGAAATTTTCACTATATACATATATTTTTTTGGATTTTGCACCATATAACTATATTACCGATTTAAAAACTGCCAGTTAAAAAATTGTAAATGTGAACAAATTTGTTCATATTTGTAAATATGAACAAATTTAAAAAACTCTTCCGTATGTTAAATACAAACACACACACTAAGTTTAAAAAATAAATAGATAAAAACCTAAGAGCGATAGGGAACCCCTCTGTCTGCCATAATTTTAAAGGCTGTGGAATTGTCTGCAGTATTTTAATTTTAGTCCGCTAGCTGTTCTTTAACCCGTGGCATTCAAAATGGTTTTGAAGCATTGTCTTGCTATAGCTTTTGTATACATTTTTTAAGAGTGCCGAAAAGAAGAAGATTCAACAACCTTTGTCATCGTTTACAATTCTCTCATGAAGTTTCACTGCCCATTGCTTGGAAAATGTCACTTTGGCCTTATGAACAAATGGACTGCACAAAGGCCAATCACACTCAAACCTGTCTGTAGGTGGAGAAGTTTCTGCATTACATTTCCTGACAGAAGCCATCAAATCCCCACTCTTTTTGGGCAGCACTGTGGAGTGTGGCTCCCTCTAGTGTCGCTCAGTAGAATGGCAAGGGGGAACCAAGATGGCTCCTTAGCTGAGAACCGTGGGGGCACTGCCCCTCAGAGGACAGACAGCTGGGGATGTCACTCCCCCTTCAGGCCTCACACCCTGGGTGGGGCTTGGCACCCTCCCCCTGCTCTCCCGGTGCCTTCCTCACTCACGTCACCCTGGTTCTCCCTGCGGTCCTGCCTTTGCTGGTAGGTATAGCGCATGCGGCCGTTGCTGTAGACGTGGACGTTACCTGGAGGTCAGAGGGACTGAGTCAGGGGGTGGGGCTGCAGGAAAAGGGAGAGGCTGTCTTCCAGTCTCCCACCATCACCCCCGGGGAGACCTGGCTGCAGGGGGTGGGGTGGGGTGGGGTACTTACTAGACGGAAAGCCACCGCCAAAGAACATGTTGAAGAGGTCTTCGGGGGAGATATCGGCCTCAAAGCCACGGTGGAAGTCCCCGTGCCCGTGGCCATGCCGCGCTGCCTGGTTCTTGTCATCACCGAACTGGTCATACTGTTTCCTTTTCTCTGGGTTACTAAGTACCGCATATGCTGTGCCGATAGCTAGAAAGGAGCCAGAAGTCAGGCTTGGAGACGGTGGGCATGGAGGTGGAGGTGCCCCTGGCAGCCAATAGCTCCTTTCTTTCAGGTACTCAAGTGGTGCCTTAGGAAGGAGTCCTTGGGGCCAGAGGGGAGTTTGGCTGTTGGGCCCGTGTCGGGAGGGGGGCAGGCAGGAATATCTCTTAAGTGGATCTGGGTGGTCTGGGCCTGGCGGAAGATGAACCCTCAGGCTCCCGTGCTCCACCTCGTGACAGTGGTTGAGCTTTTTCTCTGCCTCAGGCCCTTTATGGGCATTATCTTATTTACTCCTACAGCAACTGTCAGGAAGGGCCAGGTCCCCAGGTTCTAGTCAAAACTTCACCGTTGGTAGTGTGGCCTGGTGAGCCCTCTCCTCCCTGGGGTCCAGGTCCCAGCTGCTGTTCCTCGGTGTGGCCCCAAGGCCTCCCCAGGAAAAGCTCCCCAGGTGGGAAACCTGTGCCTCAAAGGACCCTGCTCCGGGCCCTCCCGAGTCTCTTGCTCCTTCTCAAGCGGCTCACTCTCTCAAGGGAGTGGGTCAAAGCGGCTGCATCTGCTTCAAAACCTGCCACCCCTGCAGGAAGGAGAATCCCCCACCTCCTGCCATGGTGACAAGGTCCCAGGGTCAGATCTGGCGTCTTGGTGCCTGCGGGGCTGCAGGCAGGAGTCAGGGCTGGAGCAACGTTCACCACAGCTGCCCTGCCTCCCTGCTTCTCTTCACCGTCTCCCTCGGGGGCAGGCTGACAGGCAGCAGTGGGGTGACGCCTGCACAGTACCCCACACCCACACCCACACGCAGCAGGACCAACCCCAAGCACCTGGAATGCAGCACCTGGGGTGGAGCCTAGGAAACAATACACCAGGTCTTAGGGTGTGCTCTGCCATGGGCTCCCTACTTGGCTGCGGTCACTGCCTTGTAGGCACACACTGTGAGTGTGTGTTATGTGTGAGTGTGTGTGCACTGCAGGGCTGGCTGTGGCTGCTGGTGATGGGGAGGCCACCAGGCCCCAAGCCCACTGACCTGAGGCTTCCTTGCCCCTCAGCACAGGGAAACCGGTAGCAATATCCCAAGATGGGGACGTGCATACAGGTGAGTCAGGAGGCCTGCTTCTGACCCTCAACTGCTCTGGGACCTTGGAAAAGCCACTGGTCGGTCCTCTCTTGCCTCAGCTCCCCTCCTGTAAGCCCTGGGGAACGAAGAGGAAGGGGAGGCTATCTGAGCTCTGAGGCTCTATGCTAGAGGTGGCTACTAGGACTTTCTTCCCAGGAAGCAGGTCCTGAGCCCAGGGCACGTGGGTCCAAGGCCAATGACTCCTTCCCAAGGACAGGAGATGAAAAACACCAAGCACCGGGAAACCAAGGCTAGCTTACCTTTGAAAGCTTCAGTGGCGCCGGGTGCGTGGTTCTTGTCTGGGTGGAACTTGAGGGCCAGCTTGCGGTAGGCCTTCTTCAGGTCCTCATCGGAGGCCCCTCTGCTCACCCCCAGGATCTCATAGTAATCCTTACACTGCTTGACCCTGGGGGAGTGGGTAGAGAGGGCCCAGGGCCGTGAGGTGAGGTGGGGGAGAGCAGTATGGGCGCACAGTAGGGCTCGGCCGTCAGTTCCTCTAGGTCCCTCGGGGGCAAGGGGGCCTCAGTAAGCTCCACCTGGAACGGCGAGCTAGGTAGGGCCCAGTGGAAACACCTGGAATACACTTAGGATTTAAGAGGGGGGCAGCTGTAGTCTTTCAGGCCCGGAACCATTTCCCTTCGCTAACAGCACGTTCACCGGAGGCCACCTCAGAAGGACTGTCAGTGTGTGTGTGGGGCCTGCCCAAGCCCTGGAGGGATAACCGTCTCCTGTCTTCATTCTGAGCCACACAGGCCCTGGTCTGAAAGGGTCTTTGTTAGGGGTGGGGGAGAAGCTGGAAGGGGAGCCCACGCCCCATCTCTGTCTGATCAACAGAGCTATGTAAAGAGGCCAGGCTCGCCTGGCCAGCAGCAGAGTCAGCATTTCCAGCCTCTGCTGTGGGCTGACTTGGCGGGAGGGGACAGCAGAGCCCTGATTCCCACGCTGTATCCCAGGGCCGGTGGGCCCGCCCAGCTGGACCTCCTCCATCCTCAGGACCCTCCCAGGGCCCATCCAGACCACGGGCAGATGTGAGGCGGGGGCCACGCTGCAGGAAGCCTTCTCTAGATCTGAAAACTTGCCAATGGCGCTGGGCTCCGGCCCCTCTACCTTTTCACTGCTGCTACTTGCTCTGCAGTGTAGCCTTTGGTGCCCTCTCCTCCTCCAGCTTCTCCGTTGGCCGCAGGGGCTTCGGCCCCACCTGCTTTCCTGTGGGTGGTGTCTGTGGGTTGGGGATGGTCACTGGTAGACTGTGGTTTCTGGTTGAGGGACTCGATCAGGGCTGTGCAAGGCAAACAAACCATTCAGGACTCTTGTTGCAGCAAAGCCACATGCCGTGGCTGAGGGCCTGCCTGGTCCTGGGAGAGGCCAGGGCCGCCCACATCCCACCTGCTTCTTCTCCCAGCAAAGCCAGTAGCTCGCTCCCCAGCTTGGGCCTGGGCGGGGTGCAGGGGGTGGGGGAGGGCTAGTGGGACAGTCGCCTGCTCTCGTGAGTTGTCAGGGTATGGGTTGTTTTAGATCTTTTTTTTTTGTTTTTGTTTTTAAGATTTTATTTTAATTAATCTCTATACCCAACGTGGGGCTTAAACTTACAACCCCACAAGAGTCGCATGCTCTACCGACTGCTCCAGCCAGGCACCCCTGGGTATGGGTTATTTTAAAACTCCCCATAGGGGCGCCTAGGTGGCGCAGTCGGTTAAGTGTCCGACTTCAGCCGGGTCACGATCTCGCGGTCCGTGAGTTCGAGCCCCGTGTCAGGCTCTGGGCTGATGGCTCGGAGCCTGGAGCCTGTTTCCGATTCTGTGTCTCCCTCTTTCTCTGCCCCTCCCCCGTTCATGCTCTGTCTCTCTCTGTCCCAAAAATAAATAAAAAAACGTTGAAAAAAAATTAAAAAAAAAAAACAAAACTCCCCATAAAAACAAACCATTAGCCTTTCAGGTTTAAAAAAATCCCAAAGTGGTATGTTTCACAGACCCTGCTGAGTGCAGAGAGAGGCAAGTGCTCCGCCTATGTCAGTGGGGACCACACTTGGCAGGACCATCTGTTTCTGCTGGGACTGGGGGGGAAAGGCCTTCTGGAGACCTTCACTTAGCTGTGAAGGGGGATGGGGGCAATGAATGTGCTCCAGGGCCAGGGACGGCACGAGACTCCGGATGAAGACCTCTCCTCTGCTACTTGCTATTCCTTACACTTTTCAAGTGGCTGGCCATGTCAAACGTCATACTGCAATGTTCAGAGTCTATGTAGGGCATTAGCTATCATCCTCAGATAGGGTCCCAGTGACTCCAACCCAAGTCTGTGGTTCCTGCTGACTCAGTGACAAAGAGCCCAAATCTCTGGCAAAAGTTCCCTGCACCCATTGATTCCAGGCACGAAATCAGTTCTGGAAACCCCAGTCATGCCTGGGGTACAGTGCCCTGGGAAGCCAGGCACCTGGACCTCTGCAGGGACCCAGGACACTGTGCTGAGGAAGGACAGCAGTGCCCTCGGCTGGTCCCCAGCTTCTTTCAAACACGCCAGGAGCCTGCTGGGCTCAAGGCACTGTGCTGGGTGTTAGACACCCTCTAACGCAATGCACCTGGGTCTCACACGAGGGGCCTGGAGCAGGGCTCGCTGGGAGCAGAACACTGGGACTCAAGTGGACCACTGTGCCCTGAGCTACTGCTGTCTTAGGTGCAGCAAACTCACAGGATCTCACTGGGTCGGGAGCTGACAGTCAAGCTTGCCTCGCAGGAGGGATGTGAAGGACTCCTGTAGCAAACCCCAAGGGTACGCCCTGAGAAGAGTAACCATAATGAGTGCTCACTATGTGTTAGGCAGGCCCAGGCTCTGCCTCTACTAGTTCATTTAATCTTGACAATGGCCTCAGAAGTAGGTCTTATTACCACCATCCCCACGATAAAGGAGCTGTCTCAGGTCGTGATCTCATGGTTTGTGGGTTCTAGACCCCCATCAGGCTCTGTGCTGACAGTTCAGAGCCCAGAGCCTGCTTCGGATTCTGTGTTTCCTCTCTCTTTGCCCCTCCCCTACTCACACGCGTGCTATCTCTCTGTCCAAAATAAATAATCATTAAAAAAGAAAAGTTAGGGGCGCCTGGGTGGCGCAGTCGGTTAAGCATCCGACTTCAGCCAGGTCACAATCTCGCGGTCCGTGAGTTCGAGCCCCGCGTCGGGCTCTGGGCTGATGGCTCAGAGCCTGGAGCCTGTTTCTGATTCTGTGTCTCCCTCTCTCTCTGCCCCTCCCCCGTTCATGCTCTGTCTCTCTCTGTCCCAAAAATAAATAAACATTGAAAAAAAAAATTAAAAAAAAAAAAAAAAAGGAAAGTTAAAGAAGGAGCTGTGTGTTTGATCCATTGGCCCGTGGCTACACAAGCTGGGCAGTCAGCACTTAAAACGCCTGGATGTCTGGCTCCCAGAACCATGTTCTTAACTATGCTATCCTGGACCGCATGAGGCTGGCATGGGAAGCCCTCTCCAGCACAGTCCTTCCAAATAAAGAGAAGTTAAATTCAGAAAGAACTGTGTTCAAATCTCAGCTCAGTCATTCCTAGCAGTATTGCCCTGGCCGATCTATAAAATCTGTTTGAACCTGTTTCCTAAGGGATATGAGGATAATGGGTGTAACAAGGATAAAATACCATTTGTAAGCACCTGGCACAGAAACTGACAGAGTAAAAATTCAAAACTGAGTAGCTGCTGATTTATGTCACAGGCTGATGCCTGGCCAGGGAGGCGACCCAAGCTGGGGGCGGGGGGTGGGCAGGGAGCTCCAGGGCTTAGGAAGGCTAAGTCTCAGCACTCAGCAGGCTTTGGACCCAACCATAACCATGAGATTTCAGGCTGTCGCAGATGCCAGGGCCATACCAAGCGAATGGCAAAGGAAGAAAAAGCAAAAGACGAAGAGATGCTGATGAAGATGGGGAAGAAGGCGAGCTAGTTTGCTGGATATGGAGAGCGTTTAAAGAACTTGTTTCAGGGGCTCCTGGGGGGCTCAGTCGGTTAAGCATCCAACTCTTGATCTCGGCTCAGGTCATGATCTCACGGTTTACGAGTTCGAGCCCCACATCAGGCTCTGCATTGACAGTGTGGAGCCTGCTTGGGATTCTTGGTCTCCCTCTCTTTCTGCATGCCTTTCTCTCTCAAAAATAAATAAATAAACTTAAAAAAAAAAAGAATTTGTTTATATGTTTCTCTGGAAGCCCCAGTGGTCCAGGCCGTGCTGATATACCCTAAGGAGAATATGACCAACCATTCAATTGCTATAGATACACAAAAGCATTAACCAGGAGATGGACTCACTCTAGTATTTCTCAGGGAAGATTCTGGAAACTTTTCAGGGCAGTTACATGGAGTCAGCCACTCTAATTTCTTTACACTGCAGAAGAGAGCCCAAAGGGGAATGGATGTGCTCTGGGTCACACAGAAGGTTTCTGCTTGAGTTGGCAATTCAAGATTGTTGGTTGCTGACAAGTAGGTCTCTCTCATGGCCTGGACACCCCATCTACCAGACCTGTGGGATGTGACTGCCTCATTCTGACTCACTGTTACATCCCTCATGGCACAGGGGCTGACAGGCAAATGTCACAAAAGAGTACGACACAGCAGCTTAACGCAGCTCCGGAGTCAGACAGACAAAGCTGGGTTCCAGTCCTGACTCTGCCCCTCGCTGTCAAGCTGGCAGACACCTAAAAAGCCTGGAACTTAGAGGAAGAAACCAGAGCTGCGGTGGGAGAAGTGGCAGCTGAGGCAGAGGTGAGAGCATCTCTATGGCCAAAGCCAGCAGCAGTGGTCACTCCTCCAACCCAGACTGGAGGGGCAAAGCTGTGGCTCTGACACCTGCTACCAGGGTCATCTTGGACAAGCTGATTTAGCTTCTTCATGTAAAACTGTCTCTCCCTCACGAGAGCTGCAAGAGTAAATGAGCAAATGCATATAAGAGACTTAGCACAACACTCAGTAAATATTGTTATCTGTTACTGTTCATTTCATTCCCGGGCCCTCTCTCTGTTCCTGTAGTGCTCAAAGTGGTTCAGGAAAGGGAGGCCAGCAGAGGGCAATGGCCGGGGAGTGGAGCTGGACAGTCCGGTTCCTTTGCTACTTACCATGTCATCCAATCGTCAGTGAAGGCCTGATCCCTGCCCTCATAGGGTTGCTTTGAGGCATAAATAAGATTCAGTGAAATTCGGTGAATGGAAGAGTTGAGTGCACAGCAGGGCTCATGAAGGCCGACTGACCCGAACAGACAACCCCACCCCGGACCTCGCCAGTACCAGACCGTCTCTCACTCTGACACCGTTAAAGCAACCAATCCTTCCCTGCCCCACATGCTGGCCTTAGTGGCTTGGCCTTCCTGATTTCGCCTGGACCCACAGTCAGTCATTTCCTAGACCCTTAGGCAGCCTAAGCTGCGAGACCATCCAAGCCAACCCTCTCTTTGTGTGCTGGGGAAACTGAGGATGTTCTCACTGGCTCCCCGAAAAACATGGTACTTTCCACCAGCGTTGCTAAGCCTCAGGCAAAGGCGATGCCAAGTGGGCTCCCAGAAAGAGACTGGTCCCACTAGCCCTGCCCTAGGACCTCGAGGCTTAGGGCCCAGCTACTATTCCACAGTACAAGTGTCCAGCCCTTGGGCCCACCTCCTGCAGCACGAGTTTGAAATCCCTTCGTGGCCTTTTCACTGTGAGGCCCCTCCACCCTTTAAGGTTGCTCTGGACCTCCTTTCACCCTACCCTTCCCTCTGTCTGTTCTTTCACTTCTCTAAGACCAACCTTCCACCCATGCTCTCGATCCTTCCCCTCTCATTTCTCGACTCGCCCTTTCCCCACAAGGCCTGACAGTGTTGCTCACCACCTCCCTGCTACACCACTCCAGGGCCACCTGGCGGCTGCCCGCTCCTGGGAGTGCCTCCTCCCCTTGTTCTCCATCTCACTCTGTTGCTTCCCTGGTCTCTGCCCACTGGCTGAGGCCAGATGTGGCCCATGGCTGTGCTTACAGCAACATCCGTTACGCGTTCCACACTTTCACACAGTGACCCTAGCCAGGCAGGACTCCAGTGAGCTCCATCAAAATGACAATACCAGACTTTGAGCTGGAACCTGGGGCTCTCTCCTGAGCTCCCAGCTGACAGCTCCTCTGGAACATCCACCGGCATCCTGCCCCCTGCCCAGCTCTTCCCACTCACCATCCTCAACCTTACTTTCTCCCTGGCCACACACGCTTGGATTCTGTGTCCCCAGTTCTCCTCAGCACACCTCTCTCACACAAGGCTCGGTACCTCCTCTCTGATGACCCTATCCTCATCCGGGATGCCTTACCTCAGGTGCTCAGAGCTCCTGAAATACACAGCGCGATGAATGCTTTCCCAATTGATTTCTGCCTTGGGTCTCTCTTCCCTTTCATTAACCCTTCTCGTCGTTCTCTTCTCAGAACGGTACCCTTATCTTAGTCCTGCTATCAGAATCTTCAGTGGTCTTTTCACCAACTACAGAATAAAGTGAATACCCTGGTCTGGCAGGAAAGGATTTCCACAACCTGACCCCATCCTCCTTGCCAGCCTTAATCCTCTCTATTCAAATTACCACCTCCACAGCCTCCAAGTCTTGCTACACCCAGTCCTCCCCCAGCCTCCAGCCTCCATGTCTTTTCCCCAGTAGGTTCTTCTCCAAATCTCCTCCCTTCCTCCGAAGTGCAGTTTAAATGCTGCCTCTGTCCTGCTCCCTGACACCTTCCCTCACTGTCATCTACCATTATTTTTAAGTCCCAGTAAGGACTCACTCACTCACCCTACTGCTTGTAATTTCGCATTCAGGGATCCAACCCCAGCACTTCCCTCCACGTCACGGGACTGAACTCATGGAGGGCGAGGACTGGATCTTTCCTGTCCATCCTTAAGTCCTTGGCATCTAACACTGTGCTTAATTTTTCTTTAACCGCAGTATTATTTTTTCTGTAACTTTGTCTCCTTTACTACACTGTAGGCTCCTTGAGGTGAAGGATGATGTCTTACCAGTCCTGCCATACCACGTAGCACCAAGCAGAAGACTTTGCAAATAAAACAAAAAATGTCTGTTGCAGAGTGTCTCGGTGGCTTAGTTGGTTAAGTGTCTGACTCTTTTTTTTTTTTTTTTTAATGTTTATTTTTGAGAGAGAGAGAGAGCAATGGAGGGAGCAGAAAGAGAGGGAGACGGAGGAACCGAAGCAGGCTCTGCACTGACAGCACTGAGCCCGACGCAGGGCTTGAACCCATGAACCGTGAGATCATGACCTGAGCCGAAATAAAAGTTGGACACTTGGGGCGCTGACAGCCTGTGGAGCCCGCTTGGGATTCTTCCCCTCCCCTCGCCCCTCCCCCACTCGCATGTACTTGCTCTCAAAAATAAAATAAACTTAAAAAAAAAAAAAAAAGTCTGTTGCATTGAACAAGCGCCTGGAATGAACTCAAACCTCAAACAGCATGTGTAGGCAGCTATCTAATATTTTTTTAACCAAGATTTCTCCATTCCAGGCCTAAGCTAACCCCAGGTCCTTGTCAGCTGAATACAGGGCTGTGGACGGTGCAAGGTGAAGTTTACAGAGAGGTATGAGGCATAGTCTCTCCAGAATAATGCGAATATGACAACTGTGCAGCAGGTGATGATTCTGCCTGAGCAAATTCCATTTCTTGAGCGCCAGGAAGGATATCTGTCCAAGCCCCTGAACTGGCCCAGGAAGCTGCTGACAGGAAGATCTCCACAGGCCATATTGTTACCATCCTTTCTTGGCTGCCTGGTTCTGAGGCTCCAGAAGCATCCAGCGTCGGACAGGATTCTGAGAGCTCATGCGCCCCCACCACCACGCGCCTCTCTTACACAGTGTGATTTATTTCAGTAGGAAGCTTCTTGAGCCAGGTGACCTCAGGAGTCCTGGCAAATACAGACTAAAACTCTCTCCAAGAGAAGGCAAACAGGCCAAAGATCAACCTGTAGTCAGGAGGGAGGAAAATTCAAGCATTCCAGGTGGCCTCTTCTGCCAGTGTTCCCCTTTCTCAATTCCAAATGCAGGCAAGGAAGGCTACGAGGCTGACTGCTGCTCTTTCATTTCACTCCTCTATTAAACATTTATACAGTCACAGGACTTTCCAATTTCTAGCTGTGTAATCGTGGGCAAGTCCCTTGCCTCTGAGAGATTTCCTTATCTATAGAACAAAGATAATGATCTTTGCTCCGCCTCCCTGATAGGGCAGGCTCAAGTGAGAAAATGCATTGGAAAGAGCTTTCTTTCTTTTTAAGGATTTTATTTTTTTTAATAAAAAATTTTTTTTTGTTTATTTATTTTTGGAAGAGACAGAGAGACAGAGCGCAAGCAGAGGAGGGGCAGAGAGACAGGGTGACAAAGAATCTGAAGGAGGCTCCAGGCTCTGAGCTGTCAGCACAGAGCCCTAAGCAGGCTTGAACCCACGAACTGTAAGATCATGACCTCAGCCAAAATTGGAGGCTTAACCTGCTTAACCGACTGAGCCACCCAGGTGCCTCTGAACATTTTATTTTTTTAAAGTAATCTCCACACCCAACGGGGGCTTGAACTTACAACCCCCAGATCAAGAGTCGCATGCTCTACCAACTGGGTCAGACAGGCGCCCCTCAAAAGAGCTTTCTAAACAGAGAAGCCCTATGGTATTATTGTTAATCATATTGTCTGCACCAACCTTCTGATTTTCCAGATAAGGAAACCCAAGCTCAGAAAGATCACATGGTAGCAGTCAGGATAAGAACTCAGGTCTTCTGATTCTGAGCACCTGTTATGTGCCTGACGGTTTACTGCGTGGTAACTGCTGGCACGAAACCGTATCTTTAATGGACTACCTCCTTCTCTCCTCCAGCTTGTATTTTTTTTACCGTTTTATTTATTTTCGAGACAGAGAGAGACAGAGCATGAACAGGGGAGGAGCAGAGAGAGAGGGAGACACAGAATCTGAAACAGGCTCCGGGCTCTGAGCTGTCAGCACAGAGCCCGACGTGGGGCTCGAACTCACTGACCGTGAGATCATGACCTGAGCCGAAGTCGGACGCTTAACCAACCAAGCCACCCAGGCGCCCCTCCTCCAGCTTGTATTAAGAAAAACTTCTTTGAAGTCTTAGGTTAAAAAAAAAAAAAAAAAAAAAAAAAAGAGGGTTCCTGGGTAGAGTGAGATGCTGAGTAGTTGGGACAACTTCACTAATCCCTCCCCCGTTTGGAAGCCTCAGCCGGGGGACACTTAGCAGTCTTGTGCTGTCCAGCCGTCCATTCGGCGGCCACAGATGGACTCTTGGGGGCCAGGGTGGGCGGGGTGGCAAGACCAGTGTCTCCGACAAGCCCCGAATCTCACAGGCGGGTGAAGAGGCTCCAGGAGTGAGGGGGCCCGCTCTCAGGGCGGACAGTCCGAGGCGGTGGTGTGGACTGGGAGAAAAAGGCAGGCTCTGGTTTCGGGACAGTGTTCCCAGGCCCTCGCCCGGAGACGCCTTTCCAGGCCTTCCGAAAGTCGGAAGTCTTCTTTCCCTCTCTTCGAACCCATTCTCTCCGTCAAAGGAGTTATGTTTATTTTCCTAAACTATAATATTTCCCAGGCCGGCAACCGGCCCTGGGCCACCGAATGGCCCCTTGGGAAAAGTAGTTCGATTTCGCTTCCAGGTAAGTTCCTTTCCCCCCGCCCCCAGCGCCTTTCATCCTCGGGAACTCCAAATCTCAGAGGGTTCCACAAGCCCCCGGAAAGCTGAAGTCGCGGCCGCCGCAGCCATCAGGTGTTCAGCGTCCCGGAGAGGGATGGGAGCGAAAAACTACACCTCCCAGCGGCCACCGCGCGTCTCAGTGCGCAGGCGTAGCCGCGCCTCGCCACCCCTCCCCCTCCTCCAACTGCTCCCCTCGGTCCGTTCCCGTATTCCCCCCATCAGTTCTAATGTCCCCTCTGTCTCTCCGGCAGCTCACACTCACCGCGAACTCGCGGCGTCGGGTACAGCCGCTGCGCCTTCTCCAGGAAGCGGAGTGCCCTGTCGGGCTGGTTGCTCTGGATGGCCTTGAGGGCGATGCTAATACAGCGCTCGGCTTCATCCTTGTTGGATTCCATGGCGGAACCAGAGCGCGGAACCAGGGAGGGGGAGGCCGGGCGAGCGGAGGGCTGCGCCAGCCGCCGGCACGTCGCGGGGCAGGCGGGCGCAGGCTGATGACACAAACCCTCCGCCCCTCCCTTTCCGAGATTTGAGCGAGGTTTGAGCGAGGGCGGAAGTGCTACCGTATGTCTTCTAAGAAGGGGACGGCTAGGAGAGGTCAAGAGGCTGCATGCCCACATTCCTGGATCCCGGAGGGTCATACTTGGGGGTCTTGAAGTCGAATATGCTTCCATTTCTTGGTAGTAATTCTGTGAGTTTGGGACGAAGGTCATTTATTCGTTCAGCAGACATTTGCCAGGCAGGGTGTACAGTGCAGAACAAAACAAAGTCCCTGCCCTCATAGAACTTACATTCTAGTGTGTGTAGGGGAGAAGGAGAGAGACAGAAATATTCAGAGAGTGCCAAATGCAATGAAGAAAATAAAAGGGAATAGAGAGTGGGAGGTGCTATTTTAAATAGGCTGATATGAAATCTCTCAGAAGCTGGCATTTCAACAGAAACCTCAATTCAGGAGAAGGAGCAGGTATTCCAGATATGACCGTCTGGAGGGAAGGAAGGATGGTCCAGGCAGAAGGAAGAGCATGCAAAGGCTCTGAAATGGGAATTTCCTTGGTGAGTTATTACAGAATCAGCAAGGAGCTTGTAGGATTACACTATAGACGGGAGGTTCTATCAGGCTTTCTAGTGAAAGCAGTCCTGTCAAGGTTACCCACATTGCCAACTCCATTGGACATTTCTCAGTCCTTCTATTACTTGGACTTTTAAGCAGAATTTGGTAAGAAGCTACTACTGTAATTCAGGTGAGAATTAATGGTAACTCGGACAAGGGTAATGGTGGAGGCTGTGAGAAGTAGTCAAATTCTAGATGTATTGTGAAGACAAATCAAAACGATTTTGCTGGTGGATTGGATGTGTGATGTGGGATTGAGGAAGAGGAGTTGAGAATGATTTCAGGGTTTTGGCCAGGGTCAGTGGTGGAACAGAGCTTGTCTTTACTGAAACTGGAGAAACTGGGGGAAGACTGAGAGAAGCATTTTGATAGAGGGGATATTAGATGTGTGATTTGGGGTGTGTTAAGTTCATGATGCCTTTTAACGTTTTTATTTATTGATTGATTTTTGAGAGAGACAGAGACAGAGTGCGAGCGGGGGAGGGTCAGAGAGAGAGGGAGACACAGAATCGGAAGCAGTCTCCAGGCTCTGAGCTGTCAGCACAGAGCCCGATGCGGGGCTCGAACCCACAGACCGCGAGATCATGACCTGAGCCGAAGTCGGACGCTTAACCGACTGAGCCACCCAGGCGCCCCTGTGATAGGAATTATTTAATTGGGCAGGAAATGTTGGTGAGTCAGGAGAGGAGACACAGGAGTAGACAGTGGGGGTGGGATCTGGGGCACAAGCGAGGGGATGGCCTTAGATAGCTGTATGGACAACTCACTGATGTTTCAGGAGGGAAGACAGTGTGGCCAGGTACACTGCAGGCCAGCTGGTAAATTTGGAAGTGGGAACATAAGGAAGTTCTTTTCAAATAGGTTGTATTTTCTCAGTGTAATACGAAGCAAGGCATCCTTGGCCACACACGCTCACTCCTTGGAAATTTCTTCACATCCAGCTTTCCTTTCCCTTCTGTGGTTCCCTTCCCAATGCAAACGCTTGTGACCGCCAGCTGGCCTGTTAGAGAATATCCTGATGGTGAAGAAATCAGCGCCTCCTTAATAAGAGGGCCCTACACTTAGAGAGAAAAGGTCTCCACAGATTGACATGTCCTTAACATATGTTAATGGATAAATACCAGGACACTTTTCAAATAGCTTTTGTGGGGTTTATTGACCTAGGACTGCAACGTCCATTTTCCCCTCTTCTGCTAAGTATCATGAAGTCTCCTCGTCCATTTCCTGAGTATCACGAGCCCCTCTTCTCTGGCTGACCACCAGTATTTCACTTTGTGAAGAGGGCACTTGTGTAAAAGAAGGCTTGTAATTTCATTGTGTTAAGGAATTGGGCTGTGATTGCCCAACTGCTGGCTAATGAGCCCTCTTCTCCTTTCCTGCAAAATGTATCAATGACAAAATCTTATTTAAATTTTGAGCGTGTAGCTAGTAATTTGGCTTGGTTGGCAGTAAGCCTCTGGAAAGACAGGCTGAGTGTGTGTGTGTGTGTGTGTGTGTGTGTGTGTGTGTGTGTGTGTGTGTAGTAGGACGTCTTTAGGCCTTATTTTCCTCATTTTTCTCCTTCCCTCCTCTCTGCAGCTGAGCTGGGTCTCTGAATTGTTTCAGTTCAGAAAGGCTTTGGGGCACCTGGGTGGCTCAGGCGGTTAAGCATCTGACTCTTGGTTTCAGCTCAGGTCACGATCTCACGATTTGTGGGACTGAGCCTGGTGTCAGGCTCTGTGCTGACAGCACTGAGCCTGCTTGGGATTCTCTCTCTCCCAATCTCTCTGCCCCTCCCCACACTCAAAATAAATAAACTTTAAAAAAAAAAAAAAAAAAAGGCTTTGTTGCTTCAGAAGGGATTATAAACTGTGCCCGAGTGCTAGTCTAACCAACCTCCATGTTATCACTCCCTACCCTTCTTATAGATCTCAAACTGTGTGTATTGTCTTTTGTCTTGAGGCAATTTGTCTATGGGTCCTTCTCTGGTCCAAAGGCCAGGAAGGGAGTCACACTCCTGCTCAGTTCAAGTTAAACGTTATGGTCCTTGGTCTATTGATTTTGTTTAAAAATGGAACTGGTATGCCAGCTTGAAATTACAGTTTCTCGGGGCGCCTGGGTGGCGCAGTCGGTTAAGCGTCCGACTTCAGCCAGGTCACGATCTCGCGGTCTGTGAGTTCGAGCCCCGCGTCGGGCTCTGGGCTGATGGCTCAGAGCCTGGAGCCTGTTTCCGATTCTGTGTCTCCCTCTCTCTCTGCCCCTCCCCCGTTCATGCTCTGTCTCTCTCTGTCCCAAAAATAAATAAACGTTGAAAAAAAAAAAAATTTAAAAAAAGAAATAGTTTTAAAAAAAAAAAAAAAAAGAAATTACAGTTTCTCCTTGATACTTCTTGAAATCAAGACGTCATGATTTTGATCTAAGGGAAAAAGTGGAAATGTCTATCCTGTCTAGCTGGGATCCTGGTATTTGTGGGAGGATGAGGCTCAGAGAGGGAAGGAAAAAAAAAATCCTTAATTGCCTCCACAGATAACCAGGAGAAGTCACTGGAGAAATGGATCTCCAAATGAATCTTAGCATCTCCTCATTTTGCTTCTATAGCTGAAACCATCCTTGTATTAGTTGACCACCGGCCTCCATATTTCTCTCCTCTGGGGACACCGAGAATTCAGTGTGACCTTAACGTGCTTTCATCTCCTGCCATCCCCTCCCCATCTCTATCTACACACATTTCACCCCAGCCCTATCTGTCTGCCTGTCCTCCTTCATTATCTTTTTCGTCTGTCCAAGCTAACTTGTTCTTGAGGGCTCAGCTTAAGCTCCATCTCTGTGAAGAGGTAGAATTAATTTAACAGGCAGATGTCTATACTGAAAGCCAGGCACTGTGTGGTTCTAGGCATTCAGAATGCACCACGACTAAAGGAGAGCACCCGACCTCCGGGCGCTCACAGTCTAGTAAAGAAGCTCGATATTAAAAAAATAGAGGACACTGTGGCAAGTACAACAGTGGGATTGTGTATAAGCTCCAGAGGAGACTCAGAAGACGGAGTTGCTAATTGTGTGTGTAAGATCGGAGATGACATCTGAGACAAGATCTGAGGCTGAGAAAGGGGCTCCTCCGTGAGCCTGGCTCCTCCTTGGACACTCACCTTCACTGCCCCACACAGCTGGCACACCTGTCTCCAGCTACACCAAGACGGAGATCTTGACCTCAACATTCCCCATGGCCTGAGCACAGGGCCTGGTCCTTAACATGGGCTCCATATATATTTGCTAAATGAGTAGAGTAAATGAATCCTAGAGACAGGTTTTTCTCTCCACATGTTATTCAGAGTTCCCCTATACTAGCCATGGGGATAAATTCCTCCCTAAGGCTTCAGGACGAATTGCCAAATCAGTGGAGTATCCCATACTCCCTGTCCTTTCCTCTTTTGCTTCCTGATTCCCCAGTGTCCCTTGCTGTCTCCAAATGTGACCTCCCAAGCCCTTCTTTTCAGAGAGCCAGATTCTAAAATCTCTCCCTGAGAAACTACTCTTCTTGATTAAACCATGGTATACAAGGGAATACTATGCAGCTGTGGGAATGACTGGGAGGCTTTAAAACATATGCCTTTTTGTTGGAGGGGGGCACTTGGGTGGCTCAGTCCAGCATCTCTTTTTTTTTTTTTTATTAACATTTTTTTTTTATATTTATTTTTTTGAGAAACAGAGTGAGACAAAGTGTGAGTGGGGGAGGGGCAGAGAGAGGCAGAATCCGAAGCAGGCTCCGGGCTGGGTAAGTGGTCAGCACAGAGCCTGATGCGGGGCTTGAACACACGAACCGTGAGATCATGACCTGAGCTGAAGTCGGACGCTTTCTCAGCCTCAGATCTTGTCTCAGATATCATCTCCGATCTTACACACACAATTTTTGGTTCCAAAACCAAGCCTAACATAAAAAGGCATACATTTTTTTTTAAGTTTATTTGTTCACTGGGGGGAGGGGGGAGGGGCAGAGAGAGAGAGAGAGGGAGAGAGAATCCCAAACAGGCTCCCTGCTGTCAGCGTGGAGCCTGATGTGGGGCCCAAACCCAGGAACCAAAAGATCATGCATGACCTGAGCTGAAATCAAGAATCAGATGCTGGGGGCGCCTGGGTGGCTCAGTTGGTTGAGCGTCCGACTTGACACCTAGTGAGGCCGGAGGCTGGAGGCTGGAAGGAGGACACAGTGCACTTGAAACCCTTTCTACCAAACTTGTCCCCGCATAGATAACCCACCAAGTATGGGTTCTTTGATTCAAAGTCCTTTCACTTTGATGGTCTCTACTCCCAGTTTCCCTTGGGGAAGAGATGGAGCTGGGGTTAGTATTTCACAGCGGGGAAACCGATTCAGACTTTATGCATTTGTGGTTAGCTGGCCTTGAAGTTGGGAGAACCCAGATTTTTAGGAGATTCCTAAACCGTATCTCCACCCTAGACCCCTTTCCTGGATCCAGACTCTTGTATCTGACAACCCATTAGATATTTCTACCGGGATGTCTCTCAGGCACCTCAGCATGTCAGAAAAGCCACATCTTCCTCCAGCCACACCTGGTTCCCTGCTTCCCAGTCCCACTGAAGAGCACCATACACTCCATTATCTAAACAGAAATCTGGTGTCACCCTTAATTATTCCCCCTCCCTCACCAGCCTCCAACTTACATGCCCCCACCCGAGCCCTCGGGCCTGACCTGACATCTCCCAATTCTGTTAGGGACTCCAACTCTGCAGCCATTCCCCCTAATCTAGGCATCCAGCATCTGCTAACTGGGTTATTATAGCAGTCTCCAACCTGGATCCCACTCCAATTCATCTGTGGCATTGCAGGCAAAGTCCTCATTCCAAAATGCAAAGCTCATTACATCATCTTCCGGCTTAAAATCCTTCAGTGGCTCCCAATTATAATAAGATAAAGTCCAAACTCCTTACTGGGGCTTACAAGGTCCTACAGGATCTCATTCCATTTTTTCCCCCCTCTCATGTAAAGTCATCTGGGTTTGGTGTTTTTTGTTATAAATAGATTTAAAGTTACTGATTCAGTTTATTATAGTCTATTCAGATTCTTAATTTTTTTCTTGTGTCTGTTAAGTTATATTTTCTAGGAAACTATCCATTTCAAATTTATTGGCATAAAGTTGTTCCCAATATTCCTATTTTTAAACTTCTGTAGTATCTAGTTATATGCATCTAAATTTTCTAATATTTATTTTTGCTTTTTTTATTTATCATTTTGGGTTATGATCCTGATCTTTTTTTTTTCCCTCCAACTTCTTGAGGCAGATGTTTAGCATATCGTCATCCTATAATCTGTATATAAGTATGGGAGTTGTTAAGGAGTTTTAAGTTTCCCTTTGGCTGTGTCCCATAGTCTTAATATTTAGTATTTTCATTATATTCAGTTCTTTAAAAACATTTTTTTAATGTTTATTTTTGAGTGAGAGAGAATGTGAGCAGGCAAGAGGCAGAGAGAGACAGGGAGACACCGGACCCAAAGCAGGCTCCAGGCTCTGAGCTGTAGCACAGAGCACCATGCGGGGCTCAAACTCACAAGCAGGGAGATCGTGACCTGAGTTGGAGTCAGACGCTTAACCCACTGAGCCACCCAGACGCCCCTATCATGCTCAGTCCTAAGCATTTAAAAATTTCCAGCATGATTTTTTTCCTATAACCCAGAAGTGTGGTTTAAAATCCTCAAATGCATTTTAAATCTTTTTTTTTGTGAAGACTGTTATATTAATTCTTGGGTCACAAAATCACTTCCCGGTTTGTCCTGGATGCTCCCCAGAATTTCAGTTCCCAGAAACATACTTTTTTTTTTTTTGGCCTTGGAACCTTTGCATGCACTGCAGCCTCTGCTTGGGCCCCCTCCCCTGATGTTAGCTCCTACTCAACATGCAGACCTTAGTGGTTTTTTTGATTTAAAAATAAATCATTTCCTCTGCAAGCCTGCCTTGAGCTCCCAAATCTGCATTGGGTGGCCCTTCTGCTTTTCTAAGTGCTCTCATACCCGTATGTACTTAACCTTGTTTCCTTTCTCTAGAATACAAACTCCTTGGCTGGGTTTTGGAACCATGTGAATGGTTTTGGAACCATGTGAATGGTGGTGCCTGGCACATAGCAGGTGAGCAGTATAGAGTTGTGGAATGAATAGAGCAGCTCACACCCTCTCATTTGCTGGTAAAAATTCCCATTCTGAACCACAGAGAACAATCCACAAGCATCGCTCCTTTTCTCTTCTCAATTATAATCATATCCATAGTGTCTCTCTTCATGGTTAGGGTCAATCTCTGGCTGTTCATTGCACCCTACTCCATGCCGCCCAGGTTCCTGGGAGGCCTCGTTTCAGGAGTAGGGCTGGGGCTAGGCTGGACTCAAGCTGCCTCCCCTTACCTGCTCCAGACCAGAATCCCTGTGCTGAGCCTTCTTGCCAGCAGGTGGCACTTGAAGCCTGAAAGCTGAACTCTTGACTCGTCCTCCTTCCCTTTCTGAGCGTCTTGAAGGCACATAACCTGGCTTGGGCTGTGCTCAGGCTTGGAGAGGATGCTCCAGTTGGGGGACCTGGCTCCTGGCTCCTATGCTGCTGTCCCTTCTTCCCTTTCTGGTAGCAGCTGTTGCCTGGATTTCTTTTGTCTTAGACTCCCATTCAGTTCAAGTGCATATACTCCAACCAGAGCTAAAATTGGGTGGGGTATTAAAAGCTATGAATATGATTTTTGAAGAGCATGCATGTTCTTAAGCCCATTTTCCTTAATCTTGTCTCTCCACATTCTTTCTGCTTGTCCTCATGGATGATGCTGAGCTTGGGGTCACAAGGAAGCCTAGTAGCCTGGGTCCTCTCTACCTTTCTTTCCCTCCCTGAAGCCTAAGGGCTAGGACTAGAGAGTTCTTTTTGTGTCTTAAAGAAGTAGAGAACAGCAGCAAACATAGAGAATGGCTGTGTGTATGTGAGAGGAATTTACTGAGGCATTGCTCATATCACTTTTACATTGTCCACGAGCAATTTATTTTAAATGTCTATTTTTGACAGAGAGAGAGTGGGGAAGGGGCAGGGAGTGAGGGGGACTAAGGATCCGAAGCAGAGTCCAGGCTCTGAGCTGTCAGCACAGAAGCTGACACGGGGCTTGAACTCATGAACTATGAGATCATGACCTGAGCCTAAGTCGGATGCTCAACTGACTGAGCCACCCAGGTGCCCCTATATTTTTTAATGCTTTTATTTTTGAGAGAGTTTGAGCAGGGGAGAGACAGAGAGAGAGGGGGACAGAGGATCTCATGCAGGTTCTGTGCTAATAGCAGAGAGCCTGATGCAGGGCTCGAACTCACAAACCGTGAGATCATAACCTGAGCTGAGGTCGGAAGCTCAACCGACTGAGCCACCCAGGTGCCCCCGTCCAAGAGTTATTTTAAAATTAGCTTCTGGTGGTGGACCGTTTTGTTGACCATGTCTCTGCTCTGGGTCTGAACTTTGTGGGTGACAGTCTCACAAACATTACATGGATTACAGCAGTGGTGTTAGGGGTAGGCCAATGATCCTTGGGAGGGGGAGGAGGGACTACTAGTCTTGTCTGGAAGAGGGTCCACGAGGGCTTCTTAAGTAGGGAACAGCTGGAGTGGAGTCTTGAAGAAAGAGGGGAAGGTTATTCTATTTAGGTAGAAGAAACAATCTGAATAAAAAGAGAAGCACAAATCAGCCTTTTGTATCCCCCAGTGCTTCCAGCCTACCCCAAATGCTGCCTACTGAAATCCTCTCAAGCCGGCTCACATGCCGCCTTGCTCGAGGACATCCTCCTCCAGGGTAGGGGACCCTGGGCTCTTCTGGGTGACTTAGCTTGTACCTCTCACCTGCACACTTACCTGATTGTGCCAAAGTGTGGCCATCCTGTCTTCTTGAGCACCTGGACCTCCTGTGCTTCCTCAGGCACTTCCAGGAGCTAAAGTTGGAGTTCCACGTACCTGTGATAAGTGGCTGCCCCTGACCTTGGGCTTCAAGATGCAGGTAAGATCTTTACCCTCTCCTGCTGTGCTCTGGCTCTCCCGCTTCAGTGAACCCAGGCCAAGCAGCAGGTCTCTTCTTGGAGGGGAATGAATGCCCCATAAAGGTTGTGAATGGGACTTCTCTTCCAGGCTGGAGAAATGAGGGCTGCAGAAACGAGGGATTTGGGGGTTCCGGGACAAATTTAAGAAAAGCTTACATTTTGCTGATGCCTCCACCTGGGTACCAGGTATACATATCCCAAGAAAGGAAAGAGTGGAAGGTAGATGAGGTGGGTGAGTGGCAAGCTCCTTTGAGAGAGGATCTAACCTGCTCCCAGAAAGGATGTTGGAAATGAACTTGTTACATTGCTCTAGAGGAAACACTGGGGTTGGTACTGTCCTTGTGGAGCCACAGGTGCAGACCCAGGCCTCTGCTCTTATTTGGCTGATAAACACTCCCTAGCAGCTTCCAGGCCTCACAAGAAGCACTGGGTTCTTAGTGTGGTTGTTTTATTGCATTAGACTCGAGACACTCTGATGCCAGGGAGCATTACCTGGAGGTTCTGGAGGAGAACTGAAGGAGAGGCTTTTGGGACCTGGAAGAAAACTTAGAGCCCATTACGCTCAACCTGGTCATTTTACAGTTGAGGAACCCGATGGAAAATTACTTGCTTGTTCAAGGCCACACCGAGTTAGTGAGAGCTGAGTCCATATAAAACACTGGTTGCTGTGGCTCTTAAATTTAGATCCACCACACCGGATGATTTCTCATATACTCCTCTACCCATCTTAGTTCCTAATCGTGGGGTAGGAGAGATCAAGGACTATGTACCTGGCCCAAGATGAAATGACATCCAAACTGTGCAGGCACAATGCCATCATTAACCTCCAAATGCCCTCACTTTTTGTTTGTGCCTAAAGTTCAACAGGAAGAACCAGACTGTGGTAGAAAGAAAACAGGTCCGCTGCTAGCAGGGTCTAAACCCAGTGGAGAAATGAAATGAAAAGTACCCCAGAGGATCCTAAAATAAAAGAGACAAGAGCCTTTGCAGGGGGAGTTTATTGCAAACTGTTATAATTAAAGTGATATTTTACAAGTGTTTAAGACAGAGGGCAGACAGGCTCTGAGCCAGGCCTCGGCTTTAGAGGCACATTCCTGGAGGGGAAATGGCACTTGCAGGGAACATGAACGCAATCACTACTGCTCATTAGGCACAGAGCATGGTGGAGTCCTCTTAGGAAGCCTGGGAGGAAAAGACGGGAGTGGAGAGCCATGAAGCAGCTACTTTAAATTCCAAATCTTGCTGTATTCCCACTGTGCACATCACCTTCTCGGAGCAGGCCTCAGAGCCACCCTGGGGACCGACATGGATCCTTCCTCTGGCTCAGGCTTCCCACCAGCTCCGGATGCCTGGCTCTTCCTCCTGACCATTCACCACAGACTTCCTTTTGCCTTTCAGAGGTCTTCCCAACTTGCGGCTTAAGAATACCAGCAGGAGGAAAAGCCGGAATGTTCTTAATGTGAATCCACAGCAAGAATGACTCGAGAACTGGATGTTTCCCAGGGTTGGCAGGTACATGGATGCATTCTCTATCCATAGGGTGCCTGAATGCATGGTGCTGATGAAGGTGCCAAAAGTCTGAACTTTGAGGACTTGTTCAGGTTTTTGAGAACCCAGGTGGATAATCACTGGGCAGAATCAGAGCCGAGCAGAGATGCTGGGACAGGGGAAGGGTGGAGAGGGAAGACTGGTTGAATCCCGAGATCATTCCCAGGAGGAAGGGAGCACTACTTCCAGAAGCAGCAGCAGGAAGGATTGTGCCAAGGCTCTGCTCAAGGGGCCAGGGTGACTTGGGTGGAGGAGGAGGCCCCTCTTGCAGTTTTGGTTACTGTTTTGGCAAAGCAAAGTCCCAGGCAGTTTCTTGTGCACATTTCCACATGGCCTGCATGAGGCGGGTGAAGCCCATGTCTTTGGGCTTCTCTAGTCCTCTCATCAGCCGCTGCTTCATGATGGAAACAAATTCCTTATTGCTCAGCTCCCCATTGCCTAGAGGAAGAGACAAACACAACAGAGATAAATGGAGGCCTTGGAACAAAGACACTGAGAAAATTCCATTGTTCACACCATGTGCAATCTCACAGCTAAATTCAATTCTTTTGGCTTAAGATGAATGGTTTGTTCCTTCCTTGATGTTTCCGGTTACAACTCAGTGACAGTTTAGTGTGACAAAAGTTGAGTGAGAATATATTATAGGTCAGGTTCTATGGTAGGAGTTGAGAATAAAGACGTAAGTAAGACTTTGTTCCTTGAAATACTCCCAGGTTGTGGGAGAGACCAACACATTATTTCAACACTATGGTAAGTGCCATAACAGGGTAGACAGAAGATGCTATGGGGGCACAGAGGAAGACACGGAACCCAGGCTGGAGGTGGTGCAAGAACAGAGCAGTAAAGACTTCTGGAGGTGACTCCTAAGTTGAATCCCAAAGGATGAGCAGGAATTGGCCAAGTAAAGGGGAGTGCGGTGGGGGAGGCACTCTAGGTAGTGGTATTCGCATAAGCAAAGGCTCAGGGAGCAACATAGCTGCTGAACTACAAGTAGTTAGGAATTGTTGGACACGGGGGTGGGGACGAGTAAGCAGAAGAGGCAGGCAGGACAGAGGTCCCCAAAGGTCTTGTATTTTCATGAAAGGGTTTGTGCTTCATCTTCTAGGTGGTGGAGACCCAGGAAAGGACTGGAAGTAGGTAAGTGAGATGGAGTTAGATTTCCACTGTGGCTAGATCTCCCTGGCTGACTATGTGGGGATGGGACTGGAGAGAGGCACAACTGGAGTACCGGAGTCAGTCAGGAAGACTGTTGTCTAGGTGAGAGATGATGATGGAGGGTTTTCATGGCAAAAACCAAAGTCAAAATCTGGCTTTGGGGTAAGCCCATTTTCTCATGGCCTCCCATTCTACCTTCTTCAGTGGCAGACTCTCAGTTCTGGAAAGGAACTTGGAGAACATCTGGTTTAACCAAAGGTCAATCTCTTCAGCCACACAGAACAGTAACCACTTCAATAGTAGAGGACAGTTACCCTTTGGCTACATGCCCAGGGGTAAATGTCTCCTGATGAAAAGAATGGCACCATTACTGGAAGTGATAAGACAACAGGAAACCAGCAAATGGACTTTTACTAATGATCAGTCTGGGAAGAGAGTGGAAAGTAAGAATACATGGTTTACTTCTATAGAGAGAACCTGAAAACCTAAACTGGCTCATGTTTTCTGGCTGATGAGAGTATGGACAGCCTCAGTGATACCTCACAGCAGGATCAAACAAATAAGCAAACCCAGGGAGACCTAATCTATGGTATTCCAAGTCAGGAAAGTGATTGCCCTTGGGAGAGGAAGTGACTGGAAGGCAGCACCAGGGGGCCCTGTGGTCCCGCTAATATGCTGTTTCTGGGTAATACTGGTTACACAAGTGTGTTCAGTTTTTTTTTTTAATTTAGCAAGTTGTATACTTATGATATTTGTACTTTTCAGTATGTATTTTATACTTCAATATAAAGAGTTAAAAAGTAGCCTGGCTGGCTGAAAAGTAATCAATAATATGGTTTATTAAGAATGTAATTAAAAAAAATTATTGAAAAAAAAAAAGAATGTAATTAAGGGGCACCTGGGTGGCTCAGTCAGTTAAGTATCTGACTCTTGGTTTCATCTCAGGCCATATCTTGCAGTTTGTGAGTTCAAGCCCTGAGTCGGGCTCTGTGCTGACAGATCGGAGCCTGCTTGGGATTCTCTCTCTGCCCCTTCCCTGCTTGTTGTGTTCTCTCTTCTCTCTCTCTCATTCATAAACAAACAAACAAACAAACTTAAATAAAGAATGTAATTAAAATAACAAAAAGGTCTAAATAAGATTATTAATATTTTTATAATAAAAAGCTTATGACAAAAAAAAATGTAATGCCATTTAGACTACCGTGGGATTTGCTTCCTGCTTCCCCTAAGGCCACAGCTGATCAATTTGAATGGCTCCTGTTACTTTGGAAGCAGGTATATGACTGAATGTCATCTGTGCACATGTGTGATCTGTGAGTGCAACTCTGAATTCTGTGGTGAACAAATCTGAGAATTCAATGTCCTTTAGCATTTTGACCTAAGCTCTAGCACTGGTAGAGAGAACAGTGCCTTTTAAATTTAATAGATACTTCCTTTTTCTGCAGATTAATAAGCCCCAGAGATGTAAATGATTTTCTAAGGGTGATTCAAGTAGATACTGACAGTAGATTAAGAAAATAAGCCCCAGAGATGTTAAACGATTTTCTAAAGGTGATACAAGTAGACAGTGACAGAACCTCCTTCTGAAAGGCTGGAAAATAAAATTTCATTTTCCAGGCCTTCCTAGGAGAACAGGGAAACTGAGAGGCTGGTTGCCTTTTTTCCCATACTTACTTCACAGATCAGCTCTCTGGCTTCAGAAATTATAAAATGACATGTTTTTGGGAAAGAATTCAAACCACCTAAAAGTGATAAGGGTAAAAACAGAATCTGAGGAAAGTTAACCTCTTTAAAGCAGTGCTGTCCATTAGAATGGTCTTTGATGAGAAACGTTTAAATAGTCACACTTAACTAGTGGTATCATATTGGACATGGCAGCACTAGAGAATAACCCATGCCTACCTGAAGGTGAGGCCATCTTCTTGTCCTAACCCTGGAGTTTTCTTTGACTCAGACCTAGGTTGTGGGTGCAGATGGGAGGTTTAAATAACTCAAGTTCAACTTAATAACTTCAGTAACTTAAGTTAATGAACACCTGTTATGTGCAAAGTACTTACTCGAGGTCCTAGGGAGGGGTTCAAAGGTGAACAGGGGACTTGTAACTACCCTTAAAAAGTTCACAATTTATAGCAGCATTATCTACAATAGCCAAGATATGGAAGCAGCCCGAGTGTCCATTGCCTGATGAATGGATAAAGAAGATGTAGTGTGTGTGTATACACACACACACGCACGCGCGCACACACACACACACACACACACAATGGAATATTATTCAGCCTAAAAAAGAATGGAATCTTGCCATTTGCAACAACATGGATGGAGCTAGTGAGTATAATGCTAAATGAAATTAGTCAGAGAAAGACAAATGCCATATGATTTTACTCATATGTAGAATTTAAGAAACAAAACAAACAGGCAAAGGGAAAAAAATATACATATACAGAGAGAGACAAGCAAGAAATAGACTCTTAATTATAGAGAACAAACTTGTGGTTACCAAAGAGGAGGGGGTGGAGGGACGGGTGGAATAGGTGATGGGGATTAAGGAGGGCACTTGTGATGAGCACTGGGCGGTGTATGGAGGTGTTGAATCACTACATTGTACACCTGGAACTCATAATGCACTGTATGTTAACTCACTGGAATTAAGATAAAAACTTAAAAAAAAGCTCACAATTTAATAGGGAAGTTAGGTCACATATGCAGAAATAGAGTGTAACATGCAGTAATGACAACAAATTGAAACAAGGAATGAAAAAGCCAGAGTGATTCATTATGCTGGGACCAGAACAAAAGTTCACATAGGCGGGGACTTCTGACCTGGTTCCTGGATTCCATTAGCCTCGCTTCCTAGAGGGAGATGAATAATGAACCCTGGCTGTGAAACAAACAGTGGACGTCCTATAGGACAGAGGGAGGCAGCACAGGTTTGATTCAAATCCTGGTTATGCTATCTACTACCACCTATGTGATCCTGGGAAAATTACCTCACCTCTCTGAGTCTCAGCTTCCTTATCTGGAAAATGTGGTGATAAGAGTTCCTATGTCAGAGGATTGCACGAGCAGCTTAGCACAATGCCTGGCTCTTAGTAAGCAATGAAAGAAAGTGTAAGCCTCTATTGTGAATATTAGTAGTAGTATTGTGTCAGGCGGAACAGCTGAGAAATGATTCTAGAGCAGAACCAGGATCTTTGAACCGGGCTAAACTACGGAGTGGTCACAGACACAGCAGATGCGAGCTGGATGGCCAGCATGGAATGTGAATGACTGAAATGTGCCTTGGAGAGATCAATACCACCTTCTTTTCTTTCTTTTCTTTTTTTAATGTTTATTTATTGAGAGACAGAGTGTGTGCACAAGTGTGCACATGAGTTGGGGAGGGGCACAGAGAAGGGGAGAGAGGATCTGAAGTGGACTCCACGCTGACAGTAGACAGCCCAATGCAGGGCTCCAACCAACCACGAGGTCATGACCTGAGCCAAAGTTGGATGCTCAACTGACTGAGCCACCCAGACACCTGGCACCACCTTCTTTCTAGACACATTCAGATAACTGCGAATCGTGTGCTCCTAATCTACTAAGCAGCAAAGTTGGGTCTAATATTTTTGTTTCCATTTTTAAGATCTTTGTGGTCATAAATTAACTTCAGCCCACAGGCAAACTGGAATTATAAGAAGAAATGGAAAACACAAACCAGGACCTGGGGTTACGTTTCTCAATGTCATGAGGCTGAGGGCCGAGCTGTTGCTGTGAGAAAGGGGTAAGTTGAAGAGGTCGGTATTAGTACCCTGGGGCTGTCTGCTAGGTTCCATTATAAACAGTGTCTACAGCAAGGGCAGGCAGGCTCAGTTTTCCTGCCTGGCTTCAGAGGGCGCCACTCACCATCGCAGTCAAAGAGTGCAAACACCACATCACACACGTGGTCTGAGAGTTCCACTTTAGCCACTGTCCTGGCCACCTGCTGCATGGTCACTGAAAGAAGAAAGAAAGGTGCTGAATTAGCACAACAGAAGGACTTTTGTTTTGCTTTCTCTGGGGAGACAGAAGTACTCAGTCTGGGAGGATAGAAGTACTCGGTCATAATAAAAAGTTCTCAACTATATTTAAGTCATATTTAAGAAAATGATAATTCAGTTTTTAGCCCCAAACCCCCTTTCCTTTTCAGCTCAGGGTCCTTTCTTTTCTACTGCTGCTACATTTTAGGAGGTATATATAGTTAAGTAAGAATGCCTGATATTAAGTTCATAGAGACAGAAAGTGGATTAGGGGTTACCAGGGCTGGGGGCAGGGGGACCAGGAAGTTAGTGGTCAGTGGGTACAGGTTTTCTGTTTGGGGTGATGGAAAAGTTTTGGAAATAGTAGTGATGATTGTACAACAGTATGAATGTAATTAATGCCAGTGACTTGTACACTTAAAAATGGCTTACTTGGCATCTTTTATGTTAATATATATTTTGCCACAGTGAAAATTTATTTTTATTTTTTAATTTTTTTAAATGTTCATTTATTTTTCAGAGAGAGAAACAGAGTGTGAGCCTGGGAGGGGCAGAGAGAGAGAGAGAAACACAGAATCAGAAGAAGACTCCAGGCTCTGAGCTGTCAGCATGGGGCCCGACACGGGGCTTGAATCCATGAACTGTGAGATCACGACCTGAGCAAAGTTGGATGCTTCACCGACTGAGCCACTCAGGTGCCCCCACCACAGTAAAAATTTAAAAGGTGAAAATCTACATGATATTTAAGGATGGGATTCTAATGGTCTAGAGCATGCACTGGTGGCTTTCCTAATAAATTATTACCGTAAGAGTGTGCCTTGAAAAAAACCAAAGAATGCCTGAAATTACAATCGTCTCCTTCTTGGCATTTCCTGCCGGCAGGAAAGAATCTGATGATAAAAAGTCAGGGGAATAAGCAGGCAGCAAAAAAAATGGCAGGTGGGGAATAAGGAGGCTTGTGTCCGTACACTAAGGCTTCATCCTTCGGTTACTGATCGACAGCTAAGTACCTGCACGGATGAGCTCCTGGCCCCTCCTCCCTCCAGGCCTTCCACTGGCCACTTTGCCTTTGCCAACTGTGCCCTCAGGATAACAGTGGCCCCCATCTCCCTAGTTCAGCCTTTTTTGTTTTTCTTCTTCCAGACCTCAGCAGAAAATCTCTTCTCTCTTGCCATTTTCTCTTTTTCTGACACATTTACTGTTAAACACTGGCTATCGTGTGGGGTTCTCATGAAAAACAAGCCAGGAAGGGCTAGGCCATTTCCCCTGCCTTTTTCTCCCATCTGTCCTCAAACCTGATCGAGTGGCATGGATGTACACTGCTATTGCTTATAGACATACCCTTTTTTCCCTTTTTTCAGACACACTCTTAAGTGAGGTAAACCCTGGAGGAAAGAAAAGGATTTTTACTTATCAATCACTTAGCAATGAAGTGTTCCCTCTACACGTCAGATTAGATTGATCCAGAAGCAGTGTGAACTTGAACTAGAGTCAGTGTGCCTTCTCTGCTGATTTCATTCCTGTAACTTCAGTTTTTTCCTGTCATTTTCTTCTGCATTTGACCTTTCACTTCTCCTCTGTCACCTCCATGTCAGGAGGTATATGCCAAGGTCAGCAGACACAAATACCAGAGCAATGCGGAGGTGCAAGGGGATGCAGTAGGAAAATTGTGCTTGGAGTCACAAGACCTGAGCTCTGGTCCCGGCTCTTCCTCCACCACCTTGCTGTGTGACCCTGATGAAGTCACTTGATCTCTTTATTTTGTTTTTTAAGTTTATTTATTTTGAGAGCGAGTGTGGGGGAGGGACAGAGAGGGAGGGTCAGAGACAGAGGGAGGGAGAGAGAATCCCAAGCAGGCTCCACACTGTCAGCACAGAGCCCGACGCGGGGCTTGAACTCACAAACCGTGAGATCATGACCTGAGCCAAAATCTAGAGTTGGATGCTTAACCTACTGAGCCACCCAGGCACCCCTGCCTGATCTCTTTAGATTGAATTTTTTTATATTCTTATGAAGGGATGCCACAAGATAACGGCTGAGGTGAGTTAGTAGCGCAAAGAACAGTTTATTGGTGTTTTCTAGAATCTGAGGGTGAGGATGGGGGTGGAGGGATACAGATAGCTGAGGATCTGTGTGACGGAGGCTAGAACAAAGCTGTAGGTGACGCCTTGGTGTTCAAAGCCTCTGGCTTGAGGGGGACGGCTGCCCAGGAGGGCGGGAAGAGCCAGCTTTCTCATCCTGCACCGGGATGTGATTTAGGGTGAAGGAGGAACAAATGTCCCTTGGAACTGAAAGACTGAAGTAGAAGCTATTTCAGTGGAGGTTCATGAGATGTGGTTTAACTGCTCAAGGAGGAGGTGGAAACTCTGCATGACTGAAGAACTTCTAGGCTTTAAAAAAAACTCCGCCTTGTGGGTCCAGACACTTGATTTTCCCTGCTGACCCAGGAAGAATTGATTCCCGCTAACTAAACTGCCCAGGGAAGGAACAGAAATCAGCAGGCCAATTTACCACGAGAATAGTAACTGTTAAGAGAACTAAAATGATAACAGCTGGTTATTATGCTTGTCAGTTGGAAAATCTATGAAGGAAACTCAATTCGCCTCAGAAGATTGCCCAGTGGAAACAGAATCAGATCAGAAGAAACTGGATGCTCTCAAACTGTGCCTGAGAATTACCCTTTGCAGTATGTTCTGAGAAATGTATTCTAAGAAATGGATCAAAACCTGTTTAGTATTAGATAAACAGGAGCACTTGTTTATTAACCATTCCTTTTCCTGCATTTCACATCAATCCCACACTTCCATCATCACTGATGACTAGCCTCTTTTTCTCTTTCCCACTTCCTTCCATTCTCTCAGGGCAGAGTGCCTAATGTTGATTCCTCTTGATATTCACGTGCCCATCCTTCTCCCCATGAAGACAGGCCTCTTCCTCTAAATAAGCCATTAACTAAAATAATAATATCCAAGGATGTCAGTGAGAACTCTTGACAATTTTTAGTGAAAAACTCATTAAAGCGGTACTAAGTGGTTGTAGAATAGGGGCCTTGGGAGGCCATCAGCAGGAATGCCTCATTCCAAATGCCACCTCTTGACAGAACAGTTAGAGATTACATTCCATCTCACTTGGAGAGGGCTCTGACACCATTTGTACTATAGGGGGAAAAACCAGGGCTGCTGAGTCATTGTAACTCAAATCACTGGGATGCTAGTAGCCAGCAAACAACCTAGCTGGGGTGCCCTTTCCCCATCCAAGACCCTCAGGTCCCAGGGGTGTGAATCAGAGCAGTGGAGGAAACAAATATTTGACTAGCTGGTGAACGGTCAAACTGAGAGCTCTTGGGACAAGCAGGGTGACAGCAGATTACAAGCCATGTGCTTGACAGCTGGTCCTGAGAGCTGGCTTATTCATATTTGCTTCCACATCCCCAAACCAGGAAGTCATAATTAAATCACAGCAAGCAGAAGATCTCTCCACCCCCAGCGCCCCGCCCAGGTCTGACCGCCCCATGTAGACCAGGTATTGGTATTGGAATCTGGGTCTCTCTCATGTGATGATGCTAATTGATCGATGGCTGGGATGATGCTAATTGATTGATGGCTGGGATTCTAGTTTCTAATCTGAAAGATGTCTACATGGAACATGAACTCACCCTGGAGAAGGTCTATGTTTCCAAATGTGGAACAAGTGTGGCCCGGCTGCCTGAACAGCAGATGGACTTGAGATTGGGTGATTTCTACTAGGTTGGGATAGGGCAGAAGTGGGCTCAACTGGCTCTCAAAAACGGGGTATCCTTCAGCCTTTTGGAAAGTCCAGGGAGAATCCGAGTTGTGGCAGGTCCCCAGTTTACTTTCTGGCATGGTCCATAACTGGACAATTCAACAGTAGAAAGAACATACGCTGAGTCTGTGTGACTATAACGTCAGAAGCTACGTTATATAAAATTATTTACCACAACAGTCAAACAGAAGAAGGGAGAGTTCTGGAGGGATAAGGGCCCAGATACCCACTTGGAATCAGATAATCGTAGAACTAGAGGAAGCCTCAGAGAAAAGTGTGAAATCTAGAGAAGTTAAAAACCCGCCCAGGGTCACATAGCTAGCTGGCAGCAGAACTAGGTCTAGAATCTAGGTCTCTTGACTTACAGCCCGATGATATTTTCCCTATACACACTGGGTCTACTTGAACCCTTATGTGGACAATACTAGTTCCCCCATGAAGGTGTCACCCTAACGAACAGAGACAACTCAGATGAAAGAAATGCTGAACTGGAGAGTGCTCAGTCCTAGCGGGTGGGGGTGAATAACTGAATAGCTGGGGGGTGTGAGGAGTCAGCATTATAGTTTGATCACAGCTCTGATTGCCCTACATGTTGGAAGACATGAGCATTCCCTTGGAACTTACACTGACAATTTCAGGGACAACTTAAAAGGTTTATTAAACTGCAACCCAACGAAAAACATGTACAACAGAGGCGGCCCTGGGAGTTCTTCCCCACGGTCGCCTCTAATGCACAGATACAGCTATGAAGCGCGTGACCCAGTTAGGAGCTGCCTGTCTCTTCCTAATTGCAAAGGTGTTTGGAAAGGTGATACGCCAAGTTGGGCTGACAGTCTCTAGCTGTGTGGCCATGTGATTATTCCTGCCTTCCTGGACTGCAGCAGAGAAAACGAAAAGCTGGCTTGCGACTGCCAAGGTTAAGTGAGGGGAGGAGACATTTCTGCTTCAGCCCTGGAAAGGATGATGATACAGATGCCTTAGTTTCTTAAGTCAGTCCCTAGATGGCTTTGGGGTTGGGGGTGGCGATAGGGGGAAGGGTTTTCCCTTAAAGACACTTGTCTTTTATTTTGTATCTTCTTCCACGATAACTTTGGCTAATACAACATACACATTTCAACCTGATTCTGGAGGGCAGGGGAGGCGGGAAGGACAGCATTCAAGGGAACTAGCAATTTAAGGAGCCAAGAGCAATGC